GGAAAGAGTACAGGGATAGATTATGGAGAGGGAACAGATAAGAGTAGAGTCCGGTACTCCAGTGTAGACTTGTGGCTTTTACCCTGAAAAGGTCGGGAGCCATTGGAAGATTATTAAATGATACGATCTGACATATTTCAGATCAGTGGGTCTCAAACATTTTGGCCTTGGAACACCATTACATTGTTAAAAATTCTCGAAGACCCCACAGAGCTTTTGTTTTAGAAGATTATAGCTGTTGCTGCTCACCAAATTAGAAATCAAAACTGAGAAAAATTTTAAATACCTGTAATTCATTTTTAAATAACAGTAATAAAACCATTACATGTTAACAAAAACATTTTTTATGAAAAATAACTATTTTCCAAAACAAATAATTTCGTGAGAAAAATGGTGCTTTTTTTTTTTTTAAACAATTTTGCAGATGTCTTCAATGTGTGGCTTAGAATAAGACAGCTGGATTCTTGTTTCTGCTTCTGCATTCAAACTATTGGGATATGAAGTTTTGGTTGAAGTATTTTAAAAAAGCCACTTCACATAAATATATAGTAAGGGAGAAATCTTTATTTTATTTATTTATTTTTGGCTGCGTTGGGTCTTCATTGCTGCATGTGGGCTTTTCTCTAGTTGCAGAGAGTGAAGGTTACTCTTCGTTGTGGCGTGCAGGCTTCTCATTGCAGTGGCTTCTCTTGTGGAGCATGGGCTCTGGTGTGTGGGCTTCAGTAGTTGTGGCACGCATGCTCAGTAGTTGTGGCATGCGGGCTCAGTAGTTGTGGCTCACGGGCTCTAGAGCGCAGGCTCAGTAGTTGTGGCGCACGGGCTTAGTTGCTTCGAGGGATGTGGGATATTCCCGGACCAGGGCTCAAGCCCGGGTCCCCTGCACTGGCAGGCGGATTCTTAACCACTGCGCCACCAGGGAAGCCCCAGGGAGAAATATTTTAATAGCCTTTTCAAATAATTGTGGATATTCTTTGACACTCTAGCAAAACCCAACAAGTGGTAGTTTCTTAGAAATTATTTACAACATGGGGTCCGGTCAATCAACTTTTCATTCTCTATTATATTAAAATTCATTAATCTATCTTGAACTTTGTGGATCTTTTACCCATATGTGATTTTGAAATATCTTGCATTGCTCATTTGGAAAGTGTTGGCTCACTGAGTTACACAGGCCCTCTAAGTGTTGACACATTTCATTGTGTCAACATATCAAAATATGTTCTCCGTATGTATTATTAGTATCACCGCTGATCTCATCAGGAAAGTCTTATAGTATTTGAAAGCTGAAAAACTAACAGCAGTGGTATAAGTTTTCCACAATTTGGAGTTTTTGCTTGATAGCTTAAATTTGGTCACTGATAGCAAATACTGTCTGTTGTTTTCCTTGAAGTGACAGACCCATTTGGTTCATTTTCAAGAAAATATCTGTCAAATACCCTGAGTAACTGCAGTTCGTCAATCTTTCAAGTAAAAATGATGTTCCTTAAGAAAAAAAAGCCAGTTGAGTTTGTAACTCAATAGCAAGTGCTTTTTCTTGAGAAAACCGTTGTGCTTTGGTGGCAGCAGAAATGCTTTATGCATACTACCAATTTTGTCATGAGAAATATTTAAAAAGATGTGTCCTCATGGGCTAAGAGTTCATAAAATCAGGACGTTTTATTGCTTCATCAAGGACATTCTGAAGTGAAACTGAGTTGATTTTTTTATTTTGTTTTTATTGAGAGTACATGGCAGTGGAGAATACAATGACTACCAGTAGTTCGGTGCCGCTATCTTGATTGATGCTAAGTGCTAGTAGTTTTACTCACTGTTGCTTTTGTACCATCTGTACATATGTTAACACAGTGAAAATGGTGAATAAAATCTTAGTATTATTAAGAAAATAGTGTTGACTTCACAGATCTCTGAAGTTCCTTCCCTACCATTTTCACTTGAAAATAAAACTGAGAGACTGACAAATTAAACTATAGTTATTTAGACTTGAGTATTTAGCAGATATTTTCTCCATAAATAAATGAGATGGGCCATCACTTCAAGGAAAACAACTGAACTGCTGTTTCAGAGGATCTTTCTGGCTACTGTGTTGAGAACAGATATAGGTAATGTAATAGAGAACAGATTGTAATTGTCAGCAATTAAAAAAAAGTATCAATACTAATGCTTTTCCCCCCATAAAGAGTAGGAGAGAGTCAAACTGTAAATCCCCATCCTTACAAAATTGCCATGAGAGTGAGCCCTTGTCCCTCATTGGAGTCTGTAGCAGTAGACCAAGAGAGATGACAACCTGAATTGGAAGTAGAGAAGAAGGCACTGGATATTTAGTATGGGGTAGCTTATATAAAGAATCAAATGAGGACTTCCCTGCTGGCGCAGTGGTTAAGAATCCGCCTGCCAATGCAGGGGACACGGGTTCGATCCCTGGTCCGGGAAGATCCCACATGCTGTGGAGCAGCTAAGCCCGTGGGCCGCAACTACTGAGCCTGCGTTCCAGAGTCCACGAGCCACAGCTACTGAGCCCACGAGCTGCAACTACTGAAGCCCACGTGCCTACAGCCCGCGCTCTGCGACAAGAGAAGCCACTGCAATGAGAAGCCCGCGCACCACGAGGAGTAGCCCCCACTCACTGCAACTAGAGAGAGCCTGCACACAGCAACGAAGACCCAATGCAGCCAAAAATAAATAAGAATCAAATGAGTAATGTGGAAAATAAAGAACTGCAAGAATTTAGAAGAAAGTTAGTAACCTAAAGACCCCCATGAACTGGCTTGGTTTATATTGTTAGGATTCATAGGGACAAGGATTTTGGTCTGTTTTATTACCTGATATAGCTCAAGTGTCTAGAATTGTGCCGGCACATCACAAGTGTTCAATAACTGTTGAGTGTTGAATGTGGAAAGATAGGGCTTAATCTAGACAATACTCTAATTTATGTTTTAGGCAGTCTTCAAGTTCACCAAAGTAGGTCAGACCAAAGAAAAGAGATATTTGAAAACATGCTGCTTAGATAGTAATAATAGCTAACATATTGATAGCTTTTATGGTGTACTAAGTGTTCTATGTTATGTGATCTCTGGGAGGTATTATCTTTGCTTTACAGATGAAACAGCTTCAGAAAAGCTATTTGCCCAAGGTCACACAATTACTATGTGGCTAAGCCAGGATTTAAACCAAGTCTTTCTAGTTGCAAAGTACAAAGTCTTAAATATACTGTTGCCCAAGCAGGTCTAGTATATGAAAATCATATTAGAATAATTTGAAATAAGTTACTGTCTCAGATGAAAAATGGAAATATTAAAAGTTTAGTAGGTTCTAATGAAGGAATATCAGACCAGTGTGAAAATTCTTATATAACTCTAAGTAAAAAAATGTAGTTTGAAATGTATTGCATAAAGATAATTTTAATGGGTATAATAATTTATGTGGAAAAAATCCATTGAAAGATTTGAAAGTAAACAAAATGCAGTTCAAATAAATTTACTTGAACCTGTTACTCTTTTTTCTGTACTGGTATAAAATAATATTTGTATCAAACACAGGAGGGCAGCAGATGATACTCTGGTAGAAATTGCTTTGGAAAGAGCTCTAAACTTGTAGATTTCTGCTAATGGGAGAAAATCAATTCTTTTTATATTTATTTTCAGTGATGTCATTAGAAAGCCACTTTATGAACTATAAGGTGATAGACATGTTTATCTTTGACAAATATGTAGTGAATACTACAGATCACGGTATTATACTTAAAAGGATGGGACAAGGTAAGGACCCTACCCTTAAAAGGATAC